CCAATCTCACGTCATTGCATTTTTGCTGTTGTCTTCATGTGTCCCAAAGCAGTGCACATGTTTAAACTATTTGATTTCTGATCTCAATCCCACAACATTTTCACATATGAGCACTAATGGATCAGAGCATCATAGGTGATGGTTGCAGCCTTTGATCATAGTTTCAGTTTTATTATTTATAAGTTCACCTGTCCAGCACTAGGCTGGGAATCAGGGAGTTTCTTCTCTTGTGTTTTAAGAATTTATTCACAACATTTACTCTCGTAACATATAGTAAACAAAGACTATGTCAAGGTAAATATTTTAATGCGACATTATTGATATGAGTGTTTTCTTGGCTAACTGCAATGCTGGGCAAGCCACGCGGCAACGCAAGCAACGTCTTAATCTCGATCACCGGATCACGCGTCACGTGACTTGGGCCGGGGACCGTTCACTGCCTTTTGCACGCGTGCGGGCTAGCCTATTGTGGCGGCCCGCCGCTTAGTCATGTTTGTTTGTTTTCCTTAACTTCCTCTACATCAATTTATTTTATTCAATGTCTAGAAATTAAAAGGCGAATATAACAGTGTCTACACTTTGCTAATATCTCTTTAATGATTTTATGCTTTTGTAGCGGATTCAGTATGATGGATGATATTATTCAGACTGTCAAGCAGGAGGTTGCGCTAGACTGTGAGAAGGGCTCCACTCTGAGCAAGGTGTGGTCCTATGTGGAGGTTGCGCAGCGCCGACTCTTGCAGCGCAATGGCATGGACTATGAGTCTGTCACCGTCAACGACGCGTTGAAGCGGGACTTGTGGCCGTTCATTCTTAAACTCCCCGAAATGACGTTTATCAACCAGGGGACGGTCATCTACGAAGCTACAAGCGGGGGTGCTGCGCAAATTGATGCGGCGAACAATCTTCTAGCTCTTTCGGCCAGCGAGGTCGAGAGCCGTTTTCCCGATCTGATCATGTGCGCATCAGAAAGGGCAATCCATAAAGAGCTTTTTGGCTGCGAGGAGGGAAATAAGAAAGTGCTCAATTCCCCCAACGCCTACATGATCATCCAGGAGCTGTCTCGCTCGCGCGAAAGGGGTATGACGCAGATGGAGCTGACAAAGACCCTTAAGCTGAATCCTAAATCTATGACCTCCTTTCTCGACAGAATCGTAGGTGCGGGCCTGGCCACCAGGTGTCATGCTGGTGGCAGCAGCCATTATATCAAGCGCTGCGTGCTGAACCGCTTCACTTCAGACAGGCAAAGCACAATGGACAGGTCTTCGGCACACAGCAGTGGCAACAGCAATGAATCTGCATCCATCCCCGACGATCTTCGCAGGCTTACGTCGGATTTCCTAATGGCGAAGGGGTCAGAGTACATGCTCGAGGACGACGTGATGCATGCCCTCAAGCTCGACATATGGAGTAAGCATCATCGCAGGTGCTTTCATTGGGTCCTCGGCGATCTGGCTAAAGGCGGGTTTGTCGAGAGAGTGGAGATACAGGTCCCCGACGCTGACCTGTCTGGCTATAAGCTGCACACGAACAAGCCCCCTGCTGAGCCCATAGACGTAGACGAGGGTTGCGATAACGCCGAGTCCGTCACTAGCGTGCCAGATGAGTCCGACGACAATGATGACGAGTCCGACGTAGGCGAGGTAAATTCTGAGGACCCAGAGCCCAAGGCGCCGGAGAGCACCAGCGCCGAAAAGACCAGGGGCATGGGACCGGTCAAGCGCAATCAGACACGCAAGGAGAAGCAAGGAAAGCGTTTAGAGAAGGACCAGTCTGCTCGCGGACTTCTTGACGGCCACTCCCATCGTCGCTGCGTCCGCTTTATCAAGCCGTACGGCGAGAAGGGCAGCGTGAAAACCCAGCCAGGTGCTCTAATGCCTGAAGAGAAGATAGTGCTCACGGACATGGCGGCGCTCAAGAGCTTTAGCGACATTTGCGCCGAGGCCAAGGAGCGCAGTGCGGCAGTAAGAACCGTCATCTGCGAGTACGTAGTTTTGGGGTTGCTTAAGCAAAAATCGGTGCTTGCTTGTAACTCGGTGCAAGCAGCGCGATGTGCCCAAATGATAATGTCCTATGCAACAGCCAACAGGGACTCGCCGGCGTGGACGACTAAGAATCCCAATTTGCCCCATATGCTCCTCAGACCGTCGATGGACAGGCGCCCGTTCCAGAGGATAGTCTCGAGCTTGGCCGATCAAAAGAGATTGTGAATCCAAGACGTCGAGCCGCCGACCAAGCCTAAAGAGCCGACCAAATTGCAGATAGCCATTTCTCGCGATACGGACCCTGACAGACCAGTCGTCAAGACGTTTATTGCTCAGCTTCACGACCCACTCAAGCTACACAAACAGATAACAGTTACGGCGCCACGTCGACTCCCTGGTATCACCCCGGTTGTGCGCACTGCAGGTGCCAAGGAGCGCGATCAAGACTTTTTAGTGCGCACAATGGATACTGACGAGTCGCGGGCGCGAGGAGTCAAGAATATTTCCAAGAAGAGCGCACTTGGCCGCAAGTATGTCGACTCGAACAGCTCAAAGCGGCCGCTAGGCTTGAATGGCCGGGTTATCACAAGGGGCCCCAAAGCCAGCCGTGTGGACTTCATGGCTAACGATACGCCAATTGAGGATTGGGATCCCATCGATAAGCGCTTGCAGCACATTCCTCTAGGCATTGGGCGCGCCAAGAACCTTTACGACTATCTGGCGACTAACTTGGTCGATAATGTGGACGACGCCTATTTGTATGAAAACTATACTTTCTGGTCGACGTTCCTGTTCGATCGTCTGCCGCTAGAGCTGTTCCTGCAGATCACTGGCGGGATAGCCTACTTTCCAGGGCTTTTGCTTTTTATCCGCTACGGTATCTGCACTCGAGTCGACGCTAGGACGCGTGAATCGGTGGAGGCGCAGATCATTGACGCGCAGAACAGTGAGGCAAGCTCGCTGGAGAGCATTAACGAGCGACTGATGACTCCGGTAAATAAGCTTCCAAAAGTGGCTTCTGAGGTCATCGACGACAGATGTGGCCATGTTAGCCAGCATATTCGGTCGCTTATCAATAAGCTTATTTTCCTCCAGCTGCTCCATCCCGTCTATACTGTCAAGGGTATTGTGAGCATGCCGCCGCCGCCCGATGCCAAGGACGCCTTTTCTAGCATCCCCGTCACAAGCCTCAAAAATTGGGCCACCGGGTACCAGCTGATCGGTAAGGCCCGCATTCTCGACAAGAAAGGCTACGACTTGGCGCTGGATGCCTACAACGACGAAGTGGAGTATCGCTTGGATTTAACGACATGCTACCTGGGCTCTAACGTCTACGACATGATGGACAAGGATAGTTCGTTTAGTTACTGGAGCGACCTCCAAATGACGGCAGAGATGTTAGCCAAACATCTGCGACCAGGCCACATTTTATTTGGAATCGGCTTGGCCCACCACTGGCTCCAAAATGTCTCGTTGGATGTTTGCGGGCTCAGGATTCTTCACACGTATGTCTACGAAAGTAATAACTTTACACCGCTTGATTACCCGAAACTGCTAGCAGACGCGGCCAAGAGAGCAAGAACGACGCTGGAGAAGACACGTCGCGTCTTTCAGCACCAGCATGCGGATATGTCCAAGCGGTCTTACAGAGGCCTCACTTATCAGGTAAACCGCAAGAAATATGGCGACAAGACCATAAAAAGGGTCAAGACAGGCGATGCAAGTGGCAACGAGAACAGTGACACAGACAGCGGTGCGAATGGTGGTGCGAGCAGCCATACCCATGGCGGCGCAGACAGCAATGCGAGCGGCGACTCTGTTGACGCCCTGGCAACTGAGTATACAAGCTACTTAGAGGATGGGGACGGGAAAAACGACATGGATGTCATTTATATAAGCAGCGACTCTGACGATGGCCTGGCGACCAGCAGCGCCATCGACCTGACTGACAGCGACTTTGAGTAGTAAGCAGTTGCTACTTTCGGAGCTGCTCGTCCCGAGGCGACTACGCTATAAATAACTCGCTTTGCTGTGTTTAATAAAGTATTTCACTCAGCCAAACATGAATTGCTCCTCGTTAAAAAAAATCACAAGTTACACAGTGCTGTAGCATTTGCGGCCACTCTAGCCAGTGGGCGACTAAATAAAGACTGACACGGCGGCTTCTTAAAAAAGCGAGAGTAAATAAAAGAGTGTGTCGCAGATACTAGGCGGGAGGCTGGCTGGGTTATTCCAAACGGATCTGGATACGTGAGCGCCAGGCGGAAGGCTGACTGAGGACCGAGTAGTGAAGGAACTAATTTATTACAATAGAAATTGTTAACGAGGAATCTCAACAATGAACTTGCCGCTGCGCCGCCTGAGGAAATATCCCCGCAAACTTTGTACCCGCTCGATGTCACACCTAGTCCCGTGATCCGCTGATCCTCGGGGGCGGTCTGCTAGATCCGTGACAAGTGTCTCTTGACAATTCAAATTCTAGTTACCCGCGCAGAGATAATATTGTTACAGATAGGTGTTGAGAGAGTATGTTTATGTACAGGTAGTGACAATGGATTTGAAGACAAGGAGCCTCTACATTAACTGATGGCTCGCGGCTGCTACTTTATTTGGACATGTCCATATCAGCGGTGGGGGAGGGGTCGGCTCGATGTCCATTGAGTCAGGAGGGAGAGGATCGCCTGCTGGATTCCCCTGCCTGCTTGGTCCAGTCTGTACCAATATCCTCCTACTGAAAAATCCAATCACCTTTTTTTGGCGCAACATTTAAACGCTGAGTTTATGTAGAATATCACGAAAGAAAGCACAATAAATTACCGTAATCCGACTAAAGTCAGTTTCCTCCCAGTATATCCTGCGAGCTTGGAGATAAGTCATTAGAGTTGAGGTGGTGAAAAATCAGATCACCGGCCATTGATTAGGCACTGTCTCCCGACGCTTATCAACCAACTATTTCAAGTGAAATCCAACATGACGAGTTAGCTCAAATCTCGTCCGAAATGTGTTTTGAAATAAGCTATTGTAGTATAATGGTTAGTATATTTCGTTGTGGCCGAAATGATTCAAGTTCGATTCTTGACAATAGCACTTGTTGCCCGGGTTCCAATCTCGGCGTCAACAACTTTTTTTCTCTTTTTTTCGACCCAATCGTCATCATCAGCGAGGCGCCACGCAGTTGGGGATAGCGCCCCTGCCTGGGAGCCGATCTGTATCTGTATTGATAAAAACACTGCTTCTTTGCTTTCTCAATTATTTTTTTTGGCAATATGATGG